CAGCAGTGCCCTGGGCTTCTGTCCTGTAAACCGTTTAGTTGCAGTACTTCCATTTATCACGCTAGGCACCCTTCAGCAGCATGGAATACCTGGTTGAATAGTTTGCCTTTGTACCTTACAGAGTGCTATTTTCAGTAGTTTCAATTTCTGTGTCTAGTAGAACTGTGTTATTACAATGAAGGTAAAGAACAGGAATGAAAAAATACAAAAACAAAATGAGTGGATTTCTTTTTCTACTGTGTCGCAAACTGCTTTCATTTTTCACTGGAAAATAAAGATAACAGTCAGCATGAAAATACCCAGCATTTTAATCTGTATATTTGCAGCGACAGTAGTACCTCTATGGCAAAAAAAAAAAAAAGAATTTCACGTCACAGTATAACAGTTTCTTCTTGATAGTAAATTTCAGTGCTATTTAGGATTTCTTTCAGATTGTGAAACTATATGAATAAGTGCTTAATTTTAAAAGATCAATTGCTTAATATTTTTAAAAGTGCTTAATACAGCCATAAAATTGCAAAATATGCCATATTCACTAAAAGAAGAATCCAAAGACAGGTTTTAACTTAGAAAACAAGTAGCAAATATTTATTAACTGCAGCAGAATCAAGATTTTGTGTGACCAGTGCTAACCAATTCATGTCTAATAAGACTATGATCTTAAATTTTAAATAATTACTTCATTATATATATGTAAAGATAGACAAGTGCTCAGCTGATTGCAGAAGCAGGTCCCAAGTCATCTGCATCAGTTTTTCAAGTTGGAGTCTGTTGCTACTTGCTAAAGGATAGGACTTAATTTTTTTGTTTTCTTGTTTAATGGCTGTATTTTATTAAAAACAACAGATAAAATTCTATATACAGTTTTATCTCTTAAAGAATAGGAAAAAATGAGATTTGTTCATAATTTTCCATAACTAATACTTTCATAAAAATGACATTTGTCTGATATACTGTGTGTTTTTAATATATTGGTTTTCCTTTATTTTTTTGGTCACAACAAACAGCAAGCCAGAATCATTACATTTGCCCTTGTAGATATGTAGAGTTGTGATAGCTGGCATGCATGTGAAAATGTGATATTTTAAGTAAGGAGATGAAATTTTCTATTTAGGGTATAAGAACCTGTCGTTGATATGAGTGGCATTCACTCAAATTATTCATTTTTAAAAGGCATCTAATATTAGTTGAAGGATTTATAGGTTAAATCCTTAAAAAAAAAATCCTAAAATATAGGATATACCTGTGGCAAAGAACATAAGGCCATATTTTAGATAAAAAGAAATTGAAATATTTTTCTATGAGAAAGTGTAAGAAGTCGCATTATTTATGCTTTTAATTTTTTGCCTAAGTCTGTAATTCAGAATGTCTAGTAATTCAGAAGATCAAAAAACATCAATATGCCAAACTTGGCCATTTTGAATGCACATATATTCAAGTAAGTAAAAAACAAACAAACTGTAGAAATCATGGGTAACAGGAGCTGATCTGAGCAATGAAGAACATGAGTTTTTTATGTCACAGTTATATTTTTTTTCTTGGCTATGGCCAAGTTATTTATTTTATGCCTTTTCTGCTGAAGTATTTCCAAATGCTTATGGTGCATGAAATTCTTGGTGTGTGTTTACAGCAAGGAGGGCATGAGAATGGTGGGTGGTTCTCTTCTCTCCACACCACTGACATAGCGAAGTGTGGTGGAGACACAAAGCTGTGTATCCTCTATGGATTAAAGTCAGTGTAGGTCGTGTCTCTGGATTCACTCTCAGAAACCTCCTCAGATACGTGCATTAAAATGGAAGCAAAGGTGAGCCCAAGCCCCAAGGCACTTCATGTGACAGATACATCACTATGTGTGCATAGCAAAAATAAGGAATTGCCAATGCAAAGTGCTAGGGGACCTCTGTGAAAAATCTTTGTTACACAGGTTAGAATCTGGCCAGGACTCCAGACAAATATCATGCCTGGTGAGATGCTCCCTCAGCTCCTGACGCTCTCCTCACCTCCAGGCCACAGGCACGGGTGCTTCACTCAGGACTTTAGCACTGTGCCGAAGTGCAAGGAAGGGCTGCGATTCCATGAGCGCTTTCATCAGGAAGAAGGCCTGTGGGAGACGTGCGGGAGGGAGGGAGGTAAAAGCTGTACGCGTGAGCACTCTGCTGCTAGAGGGGACTGTGTTACCGCTTAGCACCAGAGAAACGAGATGCCGCATGACCAATTGCTGCTTTGAATTAGTGGATCATTCACTGCACTTAGTTGGTGTTGAATATTCTCACTGCTCTCAATCCTCTGTTTGTGCATTCATGCTCGCCATGCATCATAACTAGTTTATCCACCCACACTTTCCTACCATTGCTGTGCCCAGTTCTCCATTTATTTGTCACACCCAGTACTTGCCTCATGCTTTAATTACAATAATTTCCCCTGGGCAAGGCCTCTGTCTTCCTGAATGTTTATACAGCACTTTCCAAAGTGGAGCACAGAATCACTCATGGGATTCCTGGGGACATCTGTGGCACCCTGAATGCTTCCACATGTAATAAAAGTACTGGGTAGGGTTTTCTCTAACTCCCCCGCTTCCTTTTTCTTTGCAATGCACACTGTTGTAGCCTGTTCTAGCACTTCCCGTGACAATTTGTACATTGTTGTTCCCCGCTGGAAGCAGACCTTCCTTGCTACAGAATTTTGCAAGTCAGAATCAGCCGGGGGAGCTAGAAGAGAAGGACACCCAAGGCTGCATCCCATCTTCTACTGTTAGGTATAATCTATATTGTAATTATCCTTACTGCAAACTAATCGCATGCCATTTCAGAAATGATTTGCTTCATTGTTCTCACTACTCCTCCTGGATCAACTCTGCACCCTAGTTAATGAGTCTACTTCCCCAAGTTAATTACAACATCCCAAATCAGAGAAACCTAGAAATCCTTTGCTGCCTTTTCTCATATTTGTGTGCCTTTGTTCCATTTATATTTTGCAAAGCTGTTTTAAAACAAAAAAGCTGATCTGTTTTACTGCCTGCTTTTGGCTGATCTCTGAGTCAGTTATACCATGCTTACGTTGTCAAATACTGGCCTCACTTTTAAGTTGGAGGAACTTTTCTCCAAACAATATAGAGTGACTTTAAGGGAACTTTTCTTGCACATATGGCTTAATTGATTCCTCCACATAAACTGAAGGCCAAAACTGGTTCACAGCTCTCCTCTCCATTGTGTTTTTATGTGAGACCTGTCAGAGTTTGTGGTTCAGGTAAGACATGGCCTTAAAATCTCACTGCCTCAGGATGATCTGACTCTAGGTGCACACAAAAGGGATGCTTAGTCACTAAGGAAAGGAGCTACTGAGTTCCTGCTAAAGGACTTGGTATGATTTTTTTTCTTTTTCTTAGAACATATCAGCAGCAATTTCTGAGAAGGATTTGAACATGGGGAGAGTTCTGTGCAAATATAAATGGCAGAACCTCCTTTGTACAGGAGGAAGTTCCTTCTAAAGCAGCTCAATGAGGAAACCCAAATGCGCCGAAGGCAGCACTGAGTGGCCAAGTAAGACAGCACAGATGTTATCAGCAAAGGGCCCATGGAGCTGCACCCGTGGGAATTGAGTAGTAAAGGCCCCGTGGGGCAGCCAGCACTAACCTGAAGGCCACAGCTTCTTTGTTAAGGTGAGGGTCTCAGAAATGCACATTTCCCCCCCTGCACTTGCTTGGGCTTTTCTGCAGCTAAGTCAAATATAAATCTTAAGGGTCTGCTTACATCTACTAAATTAGGATGTATAAGCCAGAGTTGGATCTAAAGGGGGCAGCTATCACAGAGCATGTCAGCACTCTAACTTTCAATCAGTCAGTGCAGGCTATACATGCACAGGTGGTACTACTCTTGACACACTTGCACTGGCTGTTGTGATATTGAAAGATTTAAAATTATTTCTGTGTACCATTATGTATATGGAAGCACCCTTAATAAGACCCTTAATTCAAACTAGTTGCACCTCTCTGTCAAGAGATGATTCTATCTGGAAAAGTGGTTTCTTCCTGCACAGACAGTAGTCTGTTTTTAACACTTTTCATGTCTGACTGACAAGCTAGAAACAAGCTAACACATAACTCTGAGATGAAAGAAATAACTGCTTAGTTTGAACATAGATTATAAGGCTATTTTGGCTTGGTAATAAAAAAAATGTGGGGGGGAGGAAAAGTAAAAAGAAAGTTTTGCAGTTGAAAGCTAGCAATTTATTATTATTTATTATTCCTTATTTTTCCTATTCTTCCTATTCTTTTTCCACTGAAAAAGTGGTGTCTTCAGCGAGAGTGTAGGGAGCAGGCAAGATACCACTTTTTCACAGCTCATGTTTTCCATCTTGGAAAACAAAAGGATAAAGTTTGGAAGTTTTGAGGTTCTTCTCCTAAATGTACTTTATTTTCTTTTCTCATAGAGTGAAGGAGCAGAACCAGAATATGGTAAGGAAAACTGAGAAGGAAAGAAAGATAGCAGTAAAAATCCTAGGAATAAATGCTGTTCGGGAAGTGCTTGGAGGAAGTGAGGGCCACAGATGAGGCCAGAAGGTGAAGGCTCTCCTGAGGCTGCCCCTGAGGGGAGCCTCGTGCTTCCCCCTCGGGACAGGGGAGATGAGGAGACCTTAGAGCGCGGCGGCAGCAGGGGCGCCACGGGCAGCGCTTTCCCTGCGCGCGCCACACGACGCGCCCGAGCGACCGTTAACGACGCCAACGGCCCCGCGCCCGCGCGGGAGAGATACCTGCGACCACGGGGGAAGGGGGGGAGGGGAGAGGAGGGGAGAGCCCTCGCCCCGCCCAACCCCCACGTGGTGCCCGCCTAACCCCCTCCCCGCTCCTCATTGGCCACGCTTCCCTGGCAGAGGAGGCGGAGGCCAATCAGCGGGCAGTGTGCCGCCCCGCCCCCCGAGCCGC